GGTCCGGGCTGGGGATTCGAACCCTCCACCTTAGGTGTACGTGGCTGGCGCCTTAGCCGGTTGAGCTATAGGCGCCGAGCCGAGGTATTCATTATTTTTTGGAAAACTTAGTCCCAGAGATTTATCATTTGATCTGTGCACAGTGATCTATGTGTCTCTCTGGGTTCATTGTCATTCTGTAAAAATATTAATAAGTTTATTTGTGGGTACAGTTATAAGTAATTATGTGTTTATTCCTCCATCTCTTATTTGACCTTTAAAGAAACACTGTGAGGGGAAAACTTGTATTATCTCTTTTTTTCAGATGATAAAACTGCTCCTCACAGAAATTAAATGGTTTTTCCAAGATTACCCAGCTCATACATGATCTTTTAAGGCTACATGCCTAGGTCATTTGAGTCTCAAACTCATTGTTCTTGGCTCCCTATTCCCGTTGTGTCACATCACTTTTGGAGTTATGTCAATTCTGATTGCCATCGTCACTGTACCTCAACCACCTAAGGAGGTGATCACTGTTCAACTTTATTGTTAAAGGAAACTGCTTCACTTCTAAGATATTCAACTTTACATTTCTTCTCTTACACAACTTTTTGCTCTTCAGTCTGCATTACCACTGAATCTTAACCTGATCTGTCTCTTGATCCATCTAATTAGTATCACCTCCAGTCTGGTATCCTGTTTTCTTATGTAGACTGTTTTCTTTTTCCACAGTGCACTTAAACCTTCTGTTTTTGCCCATTGCATTTTCTGTTGCTCTCCCCTCCTGAATTCTGGGAATTTTATTATTTTCTCATCTGTTTCTGCTCATAGGCTGCCAACATTGTTTCAAACAACTACAGAACTGTATTAAGTTATTTCCAATTTAAGCCTTCAGATCTTAACGAAGTTTCATTGCTAAGTAATGTTTTGTGAATGTCTTATTGACTCCACTTCGTTTGATATAGAGATTATTTCAAGACTTCCAATTTCTCAAGTCCTCAGTTCAGTACTTTTCTTCCTGGCTGATGACTTCTTTCCTCTTTGCTGAGGAGATTGAGAATTCACTCAAGAGTTCATTCTGTTAGCTTCTCTATCATCTTGTTTTTTTGTTAAGTCCTGCCTTAGAGGAAGTGTTACCAAGTTTTGTCAAGTCTAACCTTCCCATCTGTGTTTCTGACCTTATCCCTTCCTCCTCTGGGACTTTGTTTCATCAATCACTACCTCTCCTGTTTGTTTTCCTGTAGAATTTCTCCCTTGTAAATATGCTGATATCCATTTTAGCAAATAGTTGAGAAAAATCTTTATACTCTCTTGCCCTCTCAAACTACAACTCCTTTTCTCTTTCACTGCCTAAAAGTGGAAGAAAAGACAAGTTGGAAGTCAGAAAGACCTAGGTTTGAATCTTGGCTTTGCTTCTTACTTATTGGCTATATAATAATAGACAATTCACATAAACTCTGTAAAACTCAGTTTTTCCTCTCTGATGTGAAAATAATTGTATTCACTTTATGGGCTTATATGGTATTAAATAATATAATCTATATGTACCTCTGATCACAGTGTCTTATATGGTGATGTTGTCAATAAATAGCTGTTATTACTATTCTGCCCACTGTGTCCATTTCTTTACTATTTATTTTACTTTTAAACTCCTTGCAGTTTGCTTTTGTTCCTATAAATCTGTTGAAACTGATGAGTGATTTTGAATTTCCAGATCTGTAGTATTTTCTCAATCTTAGTCTTTGTGTTTTTGACATTGTTGAGCCTCTGAGCCTCCCTTGTTTTCTCTCTCTCTCTCTTTCTTCTTTTTTTTTTTTTTGCAGTTTTTGACCAGGGCCGGTTTTGAACCCGCAGCTCTTTATATGGGGCCAGTGCCCTACTCCTTGAGCCACAGGCACTTCCCTTGGTTTCTCTTACTGAACCTTCCTGTTAATCTTACTCCTTTGACTGCTTTTCTTTCTTGCTTTCTTTCTTTTCTTTCCTTTCTTTCCTTTCTTTCTTTCTTTCCGGACAGAGTCTCATTATGTTGCCCTTGGTAGAGTGCCATGGTGTCACAACTCCTAGCAACCTCAAACTCTTCGGCTTAAGTGATTCTCTTGCCTCAGCCTCCCGAGTAGCTGAAAGGATATAAAGCAAAGTCAGCAAAGGGAAAAGGCACGTGGGGGGAAGTTGGGAGGAAACCAGACACAGGCTTTCAGGGATCCTCTTCTGGTAGAGTGATACAGGATACACTTAATTCCCCCAGCAACAAGTTGTGACAACATGTGTAAAATGTTGCTAACCAGGTTAACTTGTTAGAGCCTCTGGGCCCAGAGTTTTTATCAGGGGCTGGTCTTATAGGTACCTTTCCCTAGCATGTGCCGAAATTCTAGACTACCAGAAGGAAATTCATAAAATGCACAAATCATGTAGTGTGTACAAATGGTTTAGGCACGGTAAGGTAAACCACTTTATCAGTTCTAGGAAT